ATTACCAATTTATCCTTAACAGAAGGAGATCATTTTATTGTTTCTTTACCTTCAGTTGCTGAATCCTAATACCCAATGAAAATCAGACAGCACATCAAACCTTATCACAATATCACCATCTTTCTTCTGTTATCCTGTTTTAGGGCCTAACACCATCAAGACTTGTGCCAGAAATCACTCTAACTCACCCATTGCAAGTTCTAAATCACTCATTGCAAGATGACAACTCTTGGAGGGTATGGCGTTGATATGGTCCGAGATTAGGAACAGAGACTTTATGGTGCAAAGGGCTTTTTACTAATTTAGCTGGAGGTCTCTGCCGACGGTGAAAGAATTGGCGGTGGAGTGTTTGAGATTAGAGCGCAACCTACAACTCTGGCACCGACAAGCAATTGAAGAAACTGAGAGGAAATTGTAAGGTTGCACTATCAAAATATCAAAATGGGTTCCAATTTAAACAGGTTATATATCGGGGTTGATCGAATTTGGTGCGTGGTAGGTCTCTCCATTGACGATGATGTTGGGGTTGATTGACAACGTCTCTTTCCATTGACGGATGCTACAATCGTGAGATAAACCAAAGATTGCAGAAGAGGACTTGGGTCTTGAGTATGGGGGTTGATTGGATTTGGTGCGTGTCTTTCTCCATTAACGGTGATATAGAGGAAGAACAAGAAGATGAAAAATACGATGAGGTTGATGAATGAGAGAGTCAAAGTCCAGTAGTTAAATAATTGATTTTCTCACAAATTCGAACGTCTTATATACGTTCATATATATGTGTGTAAATCGATTGCAGATCACAACAACTGAGAACGAATCGATTACAGAGAATGGAGTTGATTTTTTTTTTTTTTTTTTCTTGAAAAGATACCCTTATTGCGGCAGAAGCGACGGAGTGTGTTGCCGGAGAATGGACACATGGCGAGGTGAGATTGGCTGAGGAGGAGGAGGAGGATGTGGTGGTGTTCGGCGAGAGGCAGTGCATCGTCTCTGTCCATTGATTTGGGGTTAAAAAAATAATTTATTAATTTTATTGTACTAAGGGTATCTTTGTCATTTTTAATTTTTGCTACGTCACAGACCAATTTTAGGTGGACAAACTAACTGAACATTGATGGTTGGGGGATTTTTACAAAAATTGCCATAGTTCAGGGGGGTTTACTTAAAAAATAAAAATTCAGGGGGATTTCTTGGGAGAGAGAATACAGATCAGGGGTTTTTTTTGCACTTTACCCTATATATATATATATATATATATATATATATATATATATATATATATATAAGTGTAGTGTCTTCTTCCTCTATAATTAATTACTCTACACTATAATAATGTATTATTGGTGAGATTTGGTTCTTGGACTCAAGTTTCTTGTACAAGGTCTCTATAATTATTACTCTACACTATAATAATGTATTATTGGTGAGATTTGGTTCTTGGACTCAAGTTTCTTGTACAAGGTCTCTATAATTAATTACTCTACACTATAATAATGTATTATTGGTGAGATTTGGTTCTTGGACTCAAGTTTCTTGTACAAGGTCTCTATAATTAATTACTCTACACTATAATAATGTATTATTGGTGAGATTTGGTTCTTGGACTCAAGTTTCTTGTACAAGGTCTCTAATTATTATTGATTTGTTGAATTATCACTCAAAACATATCTGAACAATTCAAATGCGTTAGAAAAAAAACTCTCTCTCACACGCACTACACATATACGAGTAATATATAGAGAGAGAGAGAGTTGTGCATCGAAGGGTCAACAATTGTTGCAGTTGACAAGGTTGGCTCGAACCGTGGGAATCAAGTCAAGTAGTACCCATGCGACTGTGTCTGTGGGCATAAAATCTACGGAAACTTCCAAACTATAGTGGGACAGGACAATGATAATTATTTTCTGGTAGCCGCTTTCACATTGGAATGAGAAAACGCCCTTTTCTTTACCAGAAGTTGTTACCAGCCTCAACCTAGCTCTAGCTCTGATTTTATGCTGAAAGAGCTTTTAACCCGAACATCGATTAATATTCAAAGCATGTTATAGATGTACATTATGCTTAATGGTACCATACCCAAAAACGTTATGGGAATTTCCTCCCTAACGATTACCTTGAACCTTGGTCAAAATCAATTGATTGGTCCCCTGCCTTCACAAGTAGGTGAATTGAAAAACCTTGGTTACTTGGATGTTTCTGAGAACCGATTGTCAGGTGAAATTCCCAACAGCATTGGTACTTGTGTGACCTTGGAACGCCTTCGTATGGAGGGTAACTCCCTTGAAGGTTCCATTCCTCTAGCTTTTAGTTCTCTGAGAGGTCTTCAAGATTTAGACCTTTCGCGCAACAACTTGTCTGGTGCAATTCCAGAATACTTGGAGCGCATTCCCATCAAGAATTTGAATTTGTCTTTCAACCGTTTTGATGGTGAACTACCAACAAGAGGGGTTTTCAAAAATGCAACTGCAATTTCCGTAGCTGGAAATAGTAAGCTTTGTGGGGGTATACCAGAATTGAAGTTGCCGGCTTGCCTGAATAGTGTCTCTAAGAAAGGAGGCATTTCTCGGGGTCTCAAGCTAATGATCCCACTACTTTCTGGGCTTCTGGTTCTTGTTTTGATCATGTCACTTCTAATAATTTATTGGTTAAGGAAAACAAAGAGAGAGAAGGAGCCTTCTCTATCAGGTTCATAAAGGAAAGACCTGCTTTTGAAGGTAACCTATGAAAGTCTTCTCAAAGCTACAGGGGGGTTTTCTTCATCAAATTTAATTGGTACTGGTAGCTTTGGCTCTGTGTATAAAGGAGTCATTGATCCAGATGAAACAGTTGTTGCAGTGAAGGTACTATACCTGCAGCAGAGAGGAGCTTTGAAGAGCTTCATGGCTGAGTGTGAAGCCTTAAGAAACATCCGGCATAGAAATCTTCTGAAAATCTTAACTGCATGCTCTAGTATTGATTTTCAAGGCAACGAATTCAAAGCATTAGTCTATGAGTTCATGCCAAATGGGAGTTTGGAGAGTTGGCTACCTCCAAATCCAAGAGCAGAGGTCTTGAATGATGATCTGAGGATATTAGGCCTTCTCCAAAGGGTAAATATTGCCATTGATGTGGCTTCTGCACTAGATTATCTTCACCACCATAGCCACAAGCCTATTGCTCATTGTGATTTGAAGCCTAGCAACATTCTTCTCGACAATGAAATGACTGCTCATGTAGGTGATTTCGGGTTAGCAAGGTTCATTCTAGAAGCCATGGATAGATCTCATCCAAATCAAAGCAGCTCGGTTGGTTTAAAGGGAACTATTGGTTATGCTGCACCAGGTGACCCTATTTCCTCTCTTTCTTGCCACATTCTTGCTGTTTTGAACCTTTATAAAGTACATGTTTCTAAATATCAGTCTATTAAATGAATATAGTACTTACATATGCATCAAAAACAAATTACTACTCTACATATTGTATACTTGTAGAGAGCTGTGTAATTTGTTCTAACAATTTCAAGTTACAATTGAGTTCTGTAGAGTATGGCATGGGAAGCAAAGTGTCAACATATGGTGATATTTACAGCTATGGTATCCTTCTGTTAGAGATGTTTACAGGAAAGAGGCCCACTGATGGAATGTTCAACGAAGGATTGAATATCCATACTTTTGTGAAGATGGCACTGCCTGAACGAATAGCGGAGATTTCAGATCCAATAATTCTACCTGGTGGAGGAGGAGGAGAAGAAGAAGATGATGCTGAGGAAATTTGCGCGGACAGTGATAGCTTGGGACAAATGAAAGTAGATCAAGTGAAGGAATGTTTGGTTTCTGTCCTCAAGATTGGAGTTGCTTGTTCAGTGGAATTGCCTAGAGAGCGAATGGATATTAAAGATGTCGCCAAAGAACTGCAATTGATCAGAGCCATTGTTCTTGCTCTGGGATGATATTCAACTCAATCAGCCTGTAAAGCTCTATTTTAATAAGCCAGAAGGTTTTTTATCTGCCAAATTAACTAGGAAACATATGAATATATTCTCTCAGTGGGAATGTTATGGAGTCTGGCCCTCAATAGGCCTTTAGCTGATTCACAATATAGTGAGAGGTTTGGGAGTGAGGGTTTGAGAGCAGTCACTCAGTGCAAAATAATATCAATGGTTAAAAATTCCTTTTTAATACTTTTTGATTTGATCAATATAGATAATGTATAATTGTACTATAATTAATTGTACCCAATCATTTTGATTTACAACTAAAGTTTGTGCTTTTGTTCTGGAGAAATCTGATTATAACTCTTTCTTATTGGAGAACTAGATTTGAAAATTATTCTAGTCATTTATCTACAGTGATTTGAAGTTTATGGTTCAACTGCAAAGAAAAAGGAAATCCTCAAGTAATTTCAGGTTTTGCATGTTACTTCCACATTTTCCAAATATCTTTGTAAACACTTACAGGCAACCAAACGCCTGAAAATGCTGACATAAAAAAATAATAATACTAATAACATAAAACAAATGTAAAGCAAATATGTAAAACAAGTAGTTTGTACCATGCTGATTTTTGTATACTTCATCGATCTATTGAACCAAACACATCTTCAAGTGCGCATGGATCTTCTCAAGCTGTTGTAGTGAGATTGACTACTCGAGTGCAGGGAATTTGAAGAGTAAAGTTTAGCTAAAGTAGTTGTTCATGCTAGACAATAACAATATTTTTTGTTTTGGCCACTCAGAATGCTAGATCTAACTTTTTCAGTAGATACACCAAATCAATATTCTTGTCATTCCTTGCCTATAACCTCAAATTAAACAGGTGTAATGATGAAAGAAGCATAAAATGAAAAAATCACTGCCCTATTTAAGTCTTCTTTCATTCTTTTTCTTAGACCTGAGAAATGCGTCTCTGATTGCATTCATTCTGTTGAAAACCACATCCATTGTCATCCTATCCTTTGGTAATGAATTAAAACAAGAAAATCCAGGTGAAGGATTGTTTAAGACCTGTATGAGTGTGTGTATATAAACTTTCTCAGTAGATACAACAAATCAATATTCATATCATTCCTTACATAATATCACAAGTTGTACAAGTGCAATGATGAAAGAAGAAAAATTTGAAGAAAATCACAGCCTCATCTAAGTCTTTTTCCATTTTGTTTCTTAAACCTAAGAAATGAGTCTCTAATTACATTCATTCTGTTGACCACCACATTCATTGGCATTCTATCCCTTGGTAATGAATTAGAACAAGAAACTCCAATTTTCATCACGGAAACCAAGCATTCCTCCATTCTGCTCCTAGCGCTGTCCTGGGGTTCATTGTTGTTCATTGCTGCTGCTTCTTCTATTTCATTGGCTTCTTCAGTCTCATCTAAGTTGTTTTCTTCCTCAAAGAACAGTGAAGGGTCTACTGTGTCCAGGACACGTTCAGGCAAAGCCATTGCAACGAACTTGTGAATGTTTAAGCCATCTTTGAACATGTCATTGGTTGGTCTTTTGCCCATAAACATCTCCAACAAGAGTATTCCATAGCTATAAACATCTCCAAGGGTGGACACTTGATCACCCATACCATACTCTGAGATTCAATAATCCACTGTCACGAGGATATCTAAACATATAAATTTTCCAAAATATAATTGGAAAGGCACAGGTATTATTGATCACAAGATACACTTGCTTATATGATAAGGTAATTTGTTTAAGCCTCCAGTGGCGTTTGAATTTAAGAGGGTTAATGTAATGATCCTCATTTTTACCATTTTTATTTTAGTTTTGTCTCGTTTTGCGTGTCGGACACCGTGGAGTGTGTCGGGTGAGTTGTGAAGGTTGGTTGGGACATTTCCTTGAGTTCAGAATTCTTGAAAATGCATTGGTTACCATTTCGGCATTTTTCCATGGGTGAGTTGTGAAGGTTGATTGAGACATTTCCTTGAGTTCAAGATTTTTGAAAATATATTGGTTATTATTTCGGCATTTTTTCATTTGTTGGGCCAGGAGGTCCCAGGTGGGACCTGCTACCGGTGTTGTTGTGCACGGGATTATGTTTCGGGGCCATTGCATTTCCTACATTATTATTTGATGCATTCTTATGTGGCTATGTGGTTATTTTAGTGTTGTGGTGTGTTTGGTGCATATATATATATAATGTTAAAGATATTATTTTGGCCGCGGGACCGACTATTAGTGTTAGTCATTACAAAATGACTACCTGGTCATTAACAGACCATTACTCTTCCTCTTCTGCTACGAAATTTCTTTCTCCACAGTTTTCTTTTTCTTTTTCTTTTACAATCTTCAAGGCTTAGATCCACACATTTCCACTTTGATTTCGACTTTGCCACTTAAGGCAAAGTCGACGAGCGCGTCGAGGCCTACGTTTTGATCGGAGCAAAGTTCAGTTTGGCCACCCTTTGGATTTCGAAATTTTGGGCTGTTTTGAGGGTTTTCTTCATTTCTTGAGGTAGGGTTGTTCTAATACCCATTTCTTTGAGCTTTGTGAGTTAATCTCCTTTAATTGATGTACAAGCATGTTTATATTGTGTTAAATTTTTGAGATGTGATCTATATATTGTATACATGATTTTTACATGGTGTAGAAAATGTATGATTATGTATTAGCTGCCTTTTTGAGATGATGCATGCTTGAATGATTTTATTTTATGCCTTATATATTTAAGTTATTGGATTTGCGAATTGAAAATATGTAAAATGCCATGATTTAGAAATATGAGAATGTGATATTGTGTGGGAATTCATGTTTTAAACAGGCTCGAATAATGTTAATGATATGCTATATTGTCATGGCATTGAAGGACTTGCATAAATCATGCATTACCATTGGGAAAGAAAAAGGGAAAATGTGTTTTGAAATGCAATAAAAATTATTTTGGGGAAATGTTTTGAAATGGTTTGAAAAAACCTGGACGCCTAGGAGGTGCCTAGTGGTCTGTGGCGTTAATGTGATCTAGAGGGAACTAGGGAAAGACCCTAGCGTGGTTGAGCTACCTAGGCCCAGAACGACGCCATGGAAGTGCCATGTGATCGGGGATAGCTAACCAATCCTTCTCTCGTGGCGCCATAGAGGTGCTGTGGGTCGGGTTGCATTAACGTTTGGAATAGTGAAATTGAAATGTTTCGGAAATGGGGAGCGACATTGGCATGTCATTGCATTACATTGGCAAGCATTGTATACATATGGTTGGATGACCTGTATGGTTGTATTGTTGTTGCTGTTGCTATGTTTTCCCCAAAGGTATGATCCCGATCCCGTTTACTTTTACTCTATGCTTTGTGTGGATTCACGGGGTTATTAAGAGATGAGTGTGAGTCTTAGACACCTCCTACTGAGCGGCTGACTCATCCCATCATATTATTACATTTTTCAGGTCACGGGAAAGAAGTGGCGGACGACGCTCTTCCACAAGTTCAAATGGGTTAGTGGACTATTTTGACATCTTTTGTATTTGTGATCTCATTTTTCTTGTATAAACCTTAGGATGACACGTATATTATGTATCGACTTTGGAATTGACCATAGTGCCCTTAGATGACCTCGGGTTCGGGTCGTTACAGTTAGTTTGCAAAAAAAACTTACTTTAAACTTGCAAATAAAAATCACTGAAAATGGAATTAACCAATCTGGATGGAAAGCATACCTGGAGGAATATAACCGATAGAACCCTTTAGCCCAGCTGATATGGCTTGATTTTTGTTGGGATTTTTTGATGAGTGAAAAAGGAACTTTGCTAATCCGAAGTCAGCGACATGGGCTGTCATGTCATCATTGAGGAGAACATTGCTTGGTTTTAGATCACAGTGAACAATTGGTGTTTCACAATAGTGATGGAGATGATCCAATGCAGAAGCAACATCAATGGCTATGTTCAGTCTCAGGATAATGTTCATACTCTTAATTTTAAATTGCCCATCAATTGGATGCAGCCACTGGTCAAGGCTTCCATTAGACATGAACTCAAATACAAGACCTTTGAAGTCATTACCTTGATGATCAACACTAGAACATGCAGTTATGATCTTGAGGAGATTTCTGTGCCGTATACTTCTCAAGGCCTTGAATTCATCCATGAAGCTCCGGGATGCTCCTTCTTGTTGAAGGTTTAACACTTTCACTGCTACAATTGCACCGTTATCACTGATAGCTCCTTTATAAACAGAGCCAAAGCTACCTGAGCCGATCAAATTGTCCAAGGAGAACCCATTAGTTGAGTTAAAAAGTTCTTGGTAAGAAGCCCCCATTTGCCAATCCTCAGTGGAGGATTCAGTTGAAGGTCGCTTTCTTGAGTTTCTCATCACATAACAAGCAGCAAACGAACAAAATAGTATTATTACGAATATTGTTGCAATAATTATCACGGGGATGATCACTTTTGGAGCTAGAAATTTTCTTGAATGAGATTTGTCTTGAGAGCAAGCAGGTAAATGCAAGTCTGGGACACCACCACATAGCTTGTCATTTCCAAGGATAGAAATTGCAGTAGCATTTGCAAAAATTCCTTCCATTGACACTGCCCCCTCCAAATTATTGAAGGAAAGATTGAGTTTCTTTAGAGATGAAAACTTTCCAAGGAATTCTGGGATCTGACCAGACAAGTTATTACGCGAAAAATCAATCTCTTCTAAGCCTCTTAATGCTTTCAAAGATTCAGGAAGTGTTCCTTGAAATGAATTCCCCTCAATAAGCAGGTACTCCAAACTAAGGCAACTGCTGAGGGTGCTTGGAATTTCACCAGACAATCTGTTATCTGACACATCAAGTTCCATGAGATTTATCAAGTTACCCACTTCAAATGGTAATGAACCAGTCAAAGAATTATGACCCATTGACAAAGAAATAGAAAGAGAAGAGAGACCAATGACCTCTTTGGGTATGGTGCCACTAAGATTATTACTAGTAAGGTTCAGTACAAGCAAATTCTTGCAATTTCCGAGGCTTGGGAGTATACTGCCCTCTAGTCTATTCTCCTCCATAAAGAGCCTGGTTAATGATGTCAAATTGCCAAGGGAAGATGGAATAGGTCCCGAAAATTTGTTAACATTCAAATACAGTCCCTCTAATTTTTGAAGCTTCCCCATAGCACTAGGGATTCGACCAGTGAAGTGGTTCCCTTCTAGCCCAAGAAGGGTCAAATTGATGAGGTTTCCAATTCCCAAAGGAACAGTTCCATAAATCAAGTTTTCACCCAGAGTAAGTATTTTGAGGCTGGTTGAAAGGTTGGCTATGGAGTTGGGCAGTTCTCCTCCAAAAAGATTTCTAGCCAAACCGAGTACTTCCAGACTAGTGCAGTTAGCCAAGAAAGTAAAAAAAATCAAGTCACCAACTTCTCTATTTCCAAGTTTATTATCATCAAAATTAATTCTATATAAATTTTGCAAGCTTTCCAAATTTGTTGGCACAGTCCCAGTGAGACTATTTTGAGCAAAGTCAATCACTTGAAGCCTAGAAGCATTTGGCAATGAAACAGGAATAACTCCTGTGAAATTGTTAACACCTCCAGCAAATACTTCGAGATTAGGAAGGGTAATACCAACATCTGGTGGGAGTTGCCCATTTAACTGGTTCAGAGTAACAGAGAAGTAGAAAATGGAGGAAATATTGTAAATTGACAAAGGAATATTACCAGACAGTTGATTTCCATAAAGTTGAAAAAATCCCAAGCGCGACAGGCGGCCAAGCTCAGGGGGTATGCGACCATACAGATTGTTCCTGGCGAGTGAGAGAGCCAATAGTGATGAAAAGTTTCCTATCCAAGCTGGGATAGTTCCTGTCAGGTTATTTACAGCCAGATGTACAATTAACAATTTTGACAGTGAACTAAGCTGATCGGGGATTGACCCATCAAGCTCATTGAAATTCACATCGAGGACTCTTAAGTCAGTACAATGAGTAAGATTTCTTGGGATCTTTCCGCTGAAGGAATTTGAGCTCAAATTGAGATGCTGCAGGAGTAGTAAACGGCCTAAATCTTGAGGAAGTTCGCCATGGAAGCTGTTGTTTTGTAGGTTGATCCCAGTAAGGAATGTGAGGTTGCCGATAGAAGGTGGTATTGAGCCAATTAAACTTAGTGATTCTAAGTTCAGAATCATGACCCTGCCACTGGTGGAGCTGCAAGTAACACCAAACCAATTGCAGAAATGGAGAGAATCATTCCATGAGCTCATTATTTGAAGTGGGTCATGACTTATCTGATTCTTGAAATCAAGTAAAGCCAATTGATCCTTCTGATTTCCAGAAGTGGATGCTACTGCAGATTCCAGACCTGAGATCATGCACAAAAGAAGAATCCCAAAACACAGAAAAGAATGCTCCATCCCTTTTGCGATATGGTGCTGATGGGAGGACTATATACAATATGAAAATTAATATAATTTTGCTCTGAGAAGAAAATATTTATAACGTTGATTAAGATGACAAATTGACAATATGGTTCTTTAGAAACAATAAAAGAGATTGGCCCACCAACTTTGAAATTGTATAGCACGTTAGTTGGAGAGGTTGTCAAGCTACTATAATCTATTGAAGCATATCAAAATATGGGGGAAAGGATCAAGTTGACTTTGTTACCCTGGGATCCACCACAGGTTGCAATCACGTAATCTTGCATTTGTCCAAGTTATCAGACTATCTATTTCAACAGCTTTTATTAGGTTTGGTAGGCTTGTGGATAAGCCAACTTCAACCTGGTTTGATTGTGATTCAACCCTATGGAACTCATCTCTCTACTAAAGCATCTGAGATGAAGTTTAAGTTTTAGATATAGTTGTGTTCAGACGAGTTCTCAGTGTGGTCATTTACCGAGAAGAAGTCCTTCATATGTTCAATTCAAGTTTTTTCTTTTACACTAGGCTACAATACAAATCCCCTACTATTCAACTAGTATAAGTTGAAATGGTGAATACCAGAAAGAAATAACAAGTTAACACAAATCCTGAAACAAAACGAATCAATTATGTTTTTACAGAAGAATAACATAAAAAAAATAAAAAAATAAAAAATAAAAAATAAAAAATTAAAATTATGGATCAAAGAGCTTCCTGTTTATTTTACTTTCGGTTCACACAATTTTCCCACATAAAAATATAAAATGCACTACTAACCTCTGATTTCAATGTTGATGATGGTTGCAGGAAAATAATAGACGATGACATAAATAATTTTTTAAGAGGGCCAAAGCCAAATCTGGAACAAAGTCATTGAAAAATGATTAGCTGGCAATGAGAACGTATTTCATTGAGAAACAAACTTACCATTAAACCCCAAGTGTTGATCTTCTATATCTAAGTTCATTTTATTTGAGCTTGGTGCTCCATTCCAATAACTCGACAGAGCTCGCCCCGAGATCCCTCGAACTGATTCCTACTTGATTCTTCGACGGCCATGGCTTATGCCGTGCTTGGTCTTCTTCTCTACGCTGGTTTGGATTTATTCGATGGTTAAGAATTAGGTTTTTATTGGGATGGAAACAGAAAATGAAGAAGAAGATTAGGAAGATCTGGTAAAGGAGGCTACTTGTCGGACATTGTGGCAGTGATGGGTTTGGAAACTTTGGATAGAACGGGGGTTCCATTTACTGAAATTTTCAAGCAAACACAAATCAAATGTGTTGTTACGGAAGCGCAGGCGACGAAAGAGACAGATTTTATGAAAATAATACTTTATTTAATACGGAGTATACAAAAATTAAAAATTCTATTAAAAAAAGTTAATAAAATATTATAATTTCTAATTATTGAATAAAATTTAATCCTTTTAAAATGTAGATTAATTATTTTGAAAAATAAAAATATAATAATGAAAAAATAATTTACTAATAGAAAATAATTTAATCCTGATGTTTCGGTGAACGCAATTTTGCACAATCAAATGACATAAACACCCTTGAATTATTAATTGAATTTTATCTATATATATAATTAGTATAATGACTTTTTCAACTGTGGAGCTCACCTGTGATATAAGGGTCATTACAGACCCATTTAGTTTCCAATTTGCTTTCTCTCTCGGACAGCTTTTGTCTTTTTCTCTCTGCTTTTGTCTTTTTCTTTTCTTTTTTCTTTTTCAACTTCAATCCTTGATTTCTCTCTCAATTCTTGGCGGATTTAGGTGCCGTTTGAGGCAAAACGACGAGCATGACGAGCTCCACGTGCTAGTACCAGAAATTTCAGCTTTTGGTCCACTTTGGGAGCTCGAATTTAAGAACTCATTTCTAGGGATTTTGCTCATTTTGAGGTAGGGACACCTTAATCCACTACCTTCTTGTTTCATTGTGAGTTATAATCATTTGTTGTGCCAAGCATGCTTAATTAGAAGTTAATTGTATCAATGATTATTTTAAATGTTGTCTAGAGAAATTCATGTGTATGAATGTGAGTTGTTTTATGTGTAAAGCATGCTTAAATGTATTTTGTTGTATCTTAATGTGTTAATAATTATTTAGGAGATGTTGAACATGTTGAATGTTTAATTTTATGATGTAGAATTTTAAATGCCATGATATTGAATGTATAGAACATATATACATGCACATACCATTGGGTTTGCATGAAATAGGAGAAATTGTTCTTGAAATAAATATGGGGAATTTCAGGGAAGTGTTTTTGATGAAATAGTTTTATGCAAAACCCGGTCGCTGCGGGATTACCAACGGGCCGGAGGTTAATATAGCCTAGAGGGACTAGGGAGTCGCCCTAGCGTGGTTGAGCTAGCTGGGCCCCATAATGACGCCACGGGGTTACCAAGGGTCAGGGACACTAACCAATCCTCCTCTCGTGTCGTGGTGGGGCTACCAAAGGGCGGGCTGTATTAACAGTTTGGAAACGATGTTTTGGATTATGAAAATGGGGAGCGACACTAGCATGCATTGCATCTCATACCATTGCATTGGATATACTTGAGATTGAATCGTTATGCTGTATTATTTCCCGACATTGTATGATCCCCATTTCCCATTGGCCTATGCTTCGTTTGGATTCACGATGACACAAGATGTGTGTCTTAAGTGTCACCTGCTGAGCTTTATGCTCACCCTACTATTTATATTATTTTTTTTCAGGTATTGGAAATGAACTGGTGGACGACAATCCACATCAAGCTTGAAAGTTGTTAGAAGGTTGTTTGCTATTTTGTATTTTGACCGTTTTATGTATATTCGTAGTTATGGAAATGTAACTATGTTAATATTCATGACTTTGTAACTTAAGAACGAACTTATCTTTTGTTTGATGTAAATGAAACTAGTGGAATTATGGTATATGTTTCCATGCAATTGTATCATGTAACGTTGTAAGACAGGGATTTTAAATATTAATCATGTATTTTGGGACTGTAATTATGATAATTTAGATTAATTGGTGTGTGGATGTTCCACCATGAGAGGAACTATGTTGAGGTATAATGAACGGATGAATGGGATGCTGGATGATTTTATGTGTTTTATGTATTGGGACAGGTTGTTGAAGGCCCATTTTTAGGGGAAGTTATGCCGAATTTTTTAAAATTTTGGCATCAGCTAGGGTCGTTACACAAAGTGAATTGACAAAAATAATCCAATGGGTGTCATTATTAAAATAACTTTGAATTGCATCGGAGTAGAATTAACCAAAACCTTAGTGAGTGTAAGTGCAATTAACCCTAAAAAAAAAACTATAGACAGTTTGAAATGGTTAAATATTAAATAGTAATTTTTTTGTTTTCTAAGTTATTTTCATAGTTAGTGAGAATTGTTGTCATCAGATTACAAGTCAAGTAAGTCTTAAAATTTTACTAATTTGGCAAGGGTGGGTGAAAAAGTTGTAGCGAAAATCGCAAGGAATTGGAGGCCAAAGAAAAGGCCATTCAAGGTATCGTAAGGAATAATGTACATATTCAATTTTATTAAATTTCTTTCTACATCCTTCTAAAAATACAGTCTAGCGAAAGAAGTTGACGCTAGAGGATAACATTTATTTCTTATTTGCCACTCAGAATGCTTGATAAAAAACTTTCTCAACAGATTCAACAAACCAACATTCTTATCATTCATTACATAATACCTCAAGTTGTGCAGGTGTAATGATGAAAGAATCAAAAATGAAGAAAATCCCTGCCTATCTAAGTCGTCTTCTATTCTGTTTCTTAAAACTAAGAAATGGGTTTCTGATTGCATTCATTCTGTTGACAACCACATTCATTGTCATCCTATCCCTTGGTAATGAATTAGAACATGAAACTCCAGTTCTCATCACTGAAACCAAGCATTCCTCCATTACCCTCCTAGCGCTGTCCTGGGGTTCGTTGTTGTTCATTGCTACTTCTTCTTCTTCTATTTCATCTTCTTTATTATCGGCTAAGTTGTTTTCTTCCTCGAAGAATAGTGAAGGGTTTACTGTGTCCAGTACACATTCAGGTAAAGCCATTGCAACAAACTTGTGAAGGTTTAGGCCATCTTTGAACATGTCATCCGTTGGTCTTTTGCCTGTAAACATCTCCAGCAAGAGTATTCCATAACTGTACACATCTCCAAGGGTGACACTGGATCACCCATACCATACTCTAAGATTCAATAATCAACTGTCAGAAAGATATTTAACCATATACATTACCAAAATATAATTGGAAAGACAGGCATTATTGATCAAAAGATTCACTTACTTATATGATATGGTTATTTGTTTAAGCCTCCAGTAACATTTGAACTCAACAGGGCTAATTTGTAAAAGCGTCTTTGTTTAAACTTGAAAATAGTTGTGATGATCAAATATGGAAATAATCAATTTGGATAGAGAGCATACCTGGAGGAAAATAACCGATAGAACCCTTTAACCCAGCTGACATGGTTTGATTTTTGGTGGGATTATTTGATGATTGAAAGAGGAACCTTGCTAATCTAAAGTCACCGACATGGGCTGTCATGTTATCATCCAGGAGAACATTGCTTGGCTTTAGATCACAGTGAACAATTGGTGTTTCACAATGATGATGGAGATAATCCAATGCAGAAGCAACATCAATGCCTATGTTCAGTCTCAGGATAATGTTCATACTCGTGGTTCTATGTTGCCAGTCATCAATTGGATGCAACCAGTGGTCAAGGCTTCCATTGGACATGAACTCAAATACAAGACCTTTGAAGTCATTACCTTGCTGATCAACACTAGAACATGTAGTTATGACCTTGAGGAGATTCCTATGCCGTATACTTCTCAAAGCCCTGCATTCATCCATGAAGCTCTCGGTGTTGGGAAACGTGCGGGATTTGCAATCACGGATCTTAATTCATCACACAGAGACAAGTTTTATGCAAAGATAAATAAAAGATGATGCATAATTCAATAAACAGATTGAATACTTACATCAAAGGTCTGAGTAAACCTTTTGAACTTTCCTCTAAAGTGAATGTTCTCACTTATTGTAGATCCCTTTAGCAAGATCCTTTCTCCTTCCGTTAGATTATTATCTTCCCTTTAGGAATCACCAATATGCCTTGATGAATGACCTTGGAATCTAGGCTGGTGGTAGCCTCCTTTAGAAGAGAAAACAAAACCCTAAAATCTAGAGAGAGAAAGTGTATTCCTTTTTCTTGTTCTCCAAGTCCCCCCTAAAATATACATGAACTCATGTATATATAGGCAAAATAAAAATAAGAATAAGGAAAAAATAAATCATTCTCCATCTCTAATTCAACTTTCTCAATCCTAACATGACTCCAATATCAACTTGGGCTATTGGTGAGAATCCTTTTGGACTTACTATTTTCTTGGCTCCTATAAATTAATAATTGGTCCGGTCCATTAAACCATGGACCCAATTCAATTAATTCATAAATTAATTTCTACTCCACTAAAAGAAATTAATTGCACTCCAATTAAATAGTAAATAACCTCTAAGTCAATGTTGCACTTTGACCCCTCTATGCTTAATTATTTATCGGATAATTAAAGCCATCAATCCAACAACATAATTAATATAATTATTTTGTTACATTTGATTATTTCCGGCTCGATCACAATAAAATATTTATTTGACAAAAAATAATAATAATTTATTAAATAAATATATATATAAAACATTTGTCTAAAACATACGAAGGCCTTCGAATTTAATTTGTGATCAATTATAATCAAAACAAAATAAATACAAATAGCACTGATGCAAATATTGATAATATAGACCTCTAATTATTAATTACATAACTACCCAAAGTGTCGATCTAAGGATCCCGAGGTATCCGCCGAACAAATCAAAGTAATTATTAATTAATAAAATAGTCTATACTTGTAATACCCCGATAATTTAAAGGATTTATTAATTGGGATTAATGAATTTTATTTTATTTTTAAATGATTTATTTTATTTAATTGAATGTTTAGATTAATTGTCTCATTTTAGTTAGATTTTATTTTGTGATTATACATTTATTGAATTGATATGATGATTGATGTGTGTGTATTTAATTATTGATTGAATTGTGGCGTATTGAGATGATGTGACTTAGTTGTAAATTCTTATTTGTTTATGTGTTTTATGTAATTAGTATTTTAGTTTAAGTATTTATTTAATTATTTTATTTATTTAGATTAATTGGTTTGGGCTTAAGGAATGTTGGACCAAATGATATGGTCTTGGGCTTGGATGAA